TTTTGTCCTCGTATGGTTTCACCCTGAAATTGTCGACAACGTTGTTGTTGCTGCTAGTCATCGCACCAATGCCTTCATAGCGGCCTGTTTACAATATTTTCCGTACGGAAAAATAAATTAAAAGAACCAAAAAATAAGAAATTAAATAGATCTTTAAGTTGGCATGCATGAGAAATTTTTTGTACGTACTTTCAGTAAGAGCGGAGAGGGTTATGAAGACGATGCAGAAGAGAGCCAATTGCACTTTGATTGCTTTACCGGTCGCCATTGAAGTGTTTGTGAAGGAACTTTTGTGGTGACATATATGCATACAAATTGTTGGTTTTGATAACAAGAAATTTAAGCTAAAATTTTGGAGTGAAAATCCATGGTGATTTTCGTTACCTTTTTAGAGTAACGAAATATAAGGTTAGTCATAATTTGTAGGATTTTTCTTTGTGCAAGAACTAGGGCTTGGGTTCAAAATGCAAAAAGATCCGATCCGATTATAAGTTTAGGGTTTAGAAATATATACATACATTTATTAAGGAGATTTACCTCCTATAAGCAAAAAAGAAATTTAATTACATTCTAATTTATTTAAGTCTTCACATTTTATTGTGTAATTACAGTAATCCAACCTTAAACCTAAGTTACGGGTAACGGGCCGCTTCACCATTTTGGATCACCACAAAGACTTGTTCGATTTCTTTATCATTAATAAGAGCTAGAAAAGTTATTAGAATTACAGTCTTAGTGCAATTATCTTTTAGTTTGTAAAGTGAGAGTTTTTAAGTTTGATTTTCTCAACAATTGACTTTGATATTAAATTATTATGACAGACTTATTGTCCAACTTTAATGAAAATCTCATACCCTTTAATATAAAATATTGTTGCGTAATCTCTCACTTCCTAATGTAAAATATTGTTGAATAAAAAATAAATATGGCTTTTTTTTTTAATCCAAAATGGTTCATGAGATTAATATAATTCTTTATTTTGGTCCATGACAATAAAAATTGGTAGAAGTGGTTCCTGCGTTTGTCCACTCTAAATCATTTTGGTCATTTCCTAAAAAATTTGCCAATATGCTCGCTAAATTGTCGGATGAATGACCATGTGAGCACATTTTTAAGGGTATTTTTGTCAAACTATCAGGTCTGCAACCACTCAAACCAGCAGGAACACTGGAAATTTCATTCACCAACTTAGAAGGCAAGTCCTGTCTTAGCTTTCACGGAACGACTAAAATTATTTATAGTAGACAAACTCAAGAACCACTTCTATTGATTTTCATTGTTACGGACCAAATTGAGGAGAGGTCAAGGACCACTTTGGAAGACAAATCAAATTAAGTATGAGAAAATAAACAATACACCACATCAGTGCTTGGGCTCATAAGATGGAACAATAGTTTACTAACTGGACCAAAGTGGACGGACCACATGATCCAATATGGAAAACAAATCTTGGTCAAGTTTTATAGAAAAACATCCATTATCATCTTCACACACTCATTATCTCATCCACACACGCTGCTGAAGAGATATTTGCACTTTGCTCATTTAGCTTTGAGCTGCTAAGAACACAGGGATTCTCACTCTTCTCCCTCATGGCTCTAGCCATAGCCAACAGTGGAAGTTCCACCGGCGGAGCTAGAGTCCCTTACAGCAGCTCCACCACCAGACAGTACCCCTACACCAACCTCTCCTCACAACGCCAGCTCCTCTTCCCTCCCTCCTCCAGAAGAGCCCTTCACGTGGTGGCAGCCAAGAGGTTCACCTCCAGAACTGGAAGGACCGACGGCAAGAACAGGAGGAGCAACACAACCACCAGAGACCAAGAACAAGACATGATGGGGTCGCAACGAACGGCTGAGATTGAAAACGTCGGTGGTGGGGCTGTGGGAAACGTTGATGATGGGTATTTCTTGCCTAAGCTTCCCGGGGATGAACCTTGCTTTTGGGAAGGTGAAAAATGGGACTGGCTTGGATTCTTTGTTGAGTACTTGTGGGCTTTTGGTATTGGCTTTGCGGTATGTTCACTACTACTCTTTGTTAATTCGTTCATCAATTTTTGTCCTTAATTTAATGTTGGGTGTTTATGTTCAATGATTCGTATGTAACAAATCGATGATTTCAGAATAATTTAGATTTTATTAATGAACCGTCTATTTATATGGTACTTATGAATCAACTAAACAATTACCAATTTGATTGATTCTTTTGCTAGAATGATCCTTAAATAATGAATATAAACAAATAGATCCAATTATAATTGTGTACTACGAAAGTTCGTTAATCACAACTTGATAAACACTAGTTAAGGGTGTACTTCTTTGTCAATATATACACTGCCATGCGGATAAGTTAAAATACATAACAATGCATGATTAGATTAAAATACCGTAATTGTGGCATTCCTTGTGTTTACGTAAATTTTACAAATTGAAGGCTAACGTTTGACCCCCGGCCGTTTGTTTGTTTTTGTTTTTCCCTGCAGCTTATTGCTTGTTTAGTTGCTGCTACTTCTTACAATGAAGGAGCAACTGATTTCAAGGAAACTCCAGTCTACAAAGATTCGTTCCAGTCTCGGGAGTTTTTGGAAGAACCGGAGGCATCCAACCCGGATGTCTTCGAATCCAACCCGACTGAAGTGGCTCCTAGTTTGGAATAGTTTCTTAATGAAATACGTGATACAATCCTAGGCAAACAAACATTCTGTCATAGTTAAATATCTCTGTTTGTAAGGTGACTTTCCAAATCTAAACATCTTTTTTTTTTCTTTCTGAATTGTATTTTATTATCTTGTACGACGTTTATCAAATTGTCAGAGATAGCATTGTTTGTGGATGTATCTGTTTGAAGTAGAGAAAGTTTGTGTGTTACCGGGTGTATACACGTGTGTCTACATCTCTCATCACACACGGGTGTATACTTCCGGTAACCATTGAAAAACAGTTCCACAACACTTAAAACAAAACCTAAGTCAGCTGAGAGCCCATATATAATTTGACAGTCACCACTGTTTTTATTCAAATCAATAGAAGTTCGATGCTATCTAAGTAAAACCGTAATGAAATAAACTCTCGGTCCTAAGTTATAAGTAAAATCTCTAAACACAACATAAAAAACCATCCAGATATTAGTCTGGTGGTATAAATATGATCATGTTTAAAATGGAACTCCTGCCACCGGAAAACCTGCCACAGCGAAAGCCACTGCAAGATAACTTCCCATCTTCAGTTTGGTCCCAGCATTTGCAGTTCTGCTAAACCCTAACCCCATCGTGGTGGGTATTGGTGCAGTTTGAGGCATTGGAGTGGCTGAAATCCCAAAAAAATACCAAGCCCGAGTTCAAGAATTTAGAGGGGATAGTAAAAAGACTAAAATAAGCGAACTCAAATTACGTTTAGATTGTTATTTAATTTTTGAGGCATTATTTTGTAAAATTAGAGGGATTGCGCAAGAGTTGGATATTTTTATTTTTTCCTACCAGCAATTGTAGAATTAGCAGCAGATGAGTTGGTGTTTTTCCCCAGAGGGGGATCTTGAGAACTAGGTGAACTAGGAGGCACAGGTACAGGTATCCCTGCACCTGCAGCAAAAAGATCGAAAAAAGATTAGAATAACATGACTTAATGTAAGATTATGTAATGACACAGAACAGTGAACAGAGCTGGACTCAGAATCGTAAAAAAAACCCTAATTTTCTTCAAAATCAGAAGTTACCCGAACAAGTAGAGATGTCGACTTGAAGGCTACAAACAACGGGAAGCTGGAGAGCGCGAGTGGTGTTGATAGGGAATGTGCTCAAAGTAGTATCGTTGAGAAAAAGGCAAAGGCACTCTGGCTGCTGGCTGTAGAGCAGCTTGAGGTTGTCACAGCATGATTGTGCAGGTGATATGGCAGTGCCTTGCACGAATGGCACACACGGGGCCAGTGGAAGAAGCCGCGTGGTGCATTGAGCAATGTTAGGGTTTTGTGAGAGGACGGGTGGCGGAAGGGAAACGAGAAAGAGGAGTAGAGTCACAGAGGAAATGGAGAAAGGATCTTGAAGCAGAGAGCTGTTAGGGGAAGCCATTGTTGTGTTCTCATGTAGAAGAGTTAAAAAATTACCAAATAATGTGTAAATTAAATAGATGAATTGTGCATGTTTTGGATGTGATGAGTTTCTTCTATATGTATGGTGTGTGTTATTCTCTGCATGCATTTCTTGCTGTCTTTTGAGTATCAGTTGCTACATGCACTTCTTGCTCTATTTCCCCAAGGTGCAATACAGTCTGACATGTACATTCAACTTCAAAGATTAACAAAAAGAAACGGTTATTGGCATGTCAATAATGTCATTTCGCACTCCTAGAAAAAAATACGCATCGAGAAGTGCATGATCACTTTGTTGAAGTGTCAATAATCGTTCCCCAGTTCCAATAGACTACAATACTGAAATTCGAGTCCTCCAATGATATGAATTTTGCTTTTATCTCCTTGTTTTAAGAATGTAATCCAATTTTCAAATAAGGTAGCTAGCTAGAAGGATCACTATCCAAAATAATCAAGCACAAAAGAAAAATCATTTGCGCAGTTAATATGATTTAATTGTTCTACCTATAAATTAAAAACTTCACTTTCTTCTCCAACATAAAGGTGATTGCAGTGAAATCAATACAGTCGGACCACTGCTGTTTCATGATTCTGACTTGCTACTTACAATTTTCCACGATAACTACTACAAGGAAAGGAAATATGAGCAAGAAATATAAAAGGCCATCAATGGACTCACCATTTTTGGTCAACTTCAAAATGAAATCCTGTCAATTTCTTCTGCTGTTACGCAAAATTTTGCATCTAGCTGTCCTAAAGCTCATGCAGCTCAAAATCATACAGATAAGATTTTTCAATCAAATATCCGATTCGATTAATTGGTAGGTGAACTGAAGCTAAACAGATTTAATTAACGCGGTTAGCTAATTAGCTGCTATATATATATATATCACTATTCTATATGTGGTGATGGTACAATGGTTTATTATGGCTTATCATTTCCTGTGCTGATAGATCAACAAAGCAAGGTCATGTCTCCAACTTCATGGGTTAAGAAGTTAGTTCCAATGAAAGGCCACAAGAAGGCCAGTGAAAGCCGGCTACTTCCTCTAACCGGCTCTTCTGCTAGAACCAGCCTAGAGATGCAGGAAGTGGTTATAGGTGCTGATTTTCGATGCAGCAAGTGTCAAAAGAGCGCATGCCAGGTGATATCGGATGTTGATGGTAAGAGTTCTTTAAAACCTTTAAAATGATGTGCCACTCAATAAAAAAAAACTTCTAATGTACTCGTTGATGAGGTTTTGCATTTCTTGCAGATGTGGATTCCATGGTGGTACATCTTTTGGATAAGAAGGTTACACTCACTTGTGAACCAGTCCGTAAAGGATCTCTAAGAAAAATCTCGGCCATCTGCGGAAAACTATCTCACAGAGCCTTAAGGACTGCAAGGTTTTATACGCGTCACTGATTCCGCCAAAAAATCGTTTCTGATAACGAATTGCCCTATGCATGTAAAAATACCTAGTATTTGTGTTTCCTAAACCCTTAAGTTATGATCATTATCTGTGATGTTGGCTGAGGTGGTGTTACAATAAAAATATCCTTAGGCCTATCCTAAATAAAGAGACACATGTAAAGCAGGTCTCCGATCATACCTTTTCTTAATCCTAAATGGTATGTAACAACTTAGGATTCATATGTGAATATGGTACATATTAAAAATAAGCTCGAATACGGCTTCTCATAATTAGAATGTGTATATATTTTTTATCAGGTCTGGTATGAAATGAACTTATAATCATAGAATTGACTCGATCATCAGATATAATTTTATAAATCATAAGTTCATAATATACTTTGGCGATTTCCATTTTGGATGGAACAAATTAAACTATTTATTCTTTGATTCCAGTTATTAATAGGTTCCCTACAAGCAACCTAGAAATTTTTAACATCAAATTAGATATAAACTCAAAAGCATCATGATGTACATTGAAGATGACTAGTAAATCAAATATGATTTGTGTAAAACAAGCCTATACAGCCATTTCTTATACTGGCTGTTCCTTAATTCCAAGGGCAAGATTAGAGAGAAATAATACAAAAGAGAGAATTTTGAAATCCCAAAGGGAAACCATTAATTAGAGTCAACTAAACTTTCCACATTCACCAGGATTAAAGCATTTATCATGAATTTGGAAAGGAAAAAAAGGTGTATTCAGAAAGCTGATGCTTTTCTATTGGCATATATATAGTTATATGCGCTTCTGAAAGCAAGAAAGTTATTATGCTCTAAGCTTAGCGCACACGGGAAATAAAAAAAGTTGACAAAAAACAATGCAAACAAGTCAAGAATATAATGGAAAAATCTAGCCGCATTGCCAGCGGATACATATATATATATATATATATATGTGTGTGTGTGTGTGTGTCTTTACTGGGTGGAAGAATCAGATCCCAAGATGAACAGTCCATGAATTAATGAATCAACAGAATCAATGTAACTAGCTCATGACACTCTCCATTCATCCTTTTTCGTTTTCTATAATATCACAATGCATCATTGCCTTTAATATCACCATTTTTCGTCGTCCATTCGAGAGTTTTGGACAGCAATAGTACACATCTGTCTCTCATTACGATTTCATGGCAGACAAGGTATGCTTCAATTGACATTTTTTAGGGGTCATGGAATTTCATTAGTTTCTAATCTTAGTTATCTTCTGTATGATCTGATATTGATTATGCATGTCCAGTTCTGCTACATGCTGATGAGAATCCATATGGACTGCAATGGTTGTTACAGAAAAGTAAGGAGAGCAATTCTCGATATTCGAGGTGAGAACACTTTTTTTCTCTAATCTCTAAACTCTTGGCTAGCTAGTAAAGTTGGCTAGAGCAGTCTTCTCCTTTCCAGCAGTTTATATTAGATTATAAACTCTAAATTTTGTCACACAATTACACAAATATATATAATTTGTTTGTTCATGATTTTGTTATGCATAGAGTTGGAGACTCATTCCATAGAGAAGAAGGAGTGCAGGGTGAGCGTCTGCGGCAGATTTATACCGCAGGACGTAGCGATCAAGATAAGGAAGAAGACAAATCGCAGAGTTGAGATACTCGATATACAAGAGCTTATGAGCAGTAACACCAATGATCAAGATCACCTTCAAGATCAGACGCCACATACGCCTTTGATCATTTCTTGGAATAATGTCGTCTCGTACCCTAACCAAGTTGAAACTTTTTGTACAGAATCACACCACCATTAAACTTGAGTCGCCTGATTAATTTGCGCATTTAAAACTACTGTAACCATCTTTCTTTACAGAGTTGGAGTATGCGGGATAACTTGTATTACCTTAAGTTTAATTTGAGGTTAGAGAGACTGGTCAAGTTTGGTGTACATTCCTTATATCTAGTATTTTATTAAGAGACTAATTACTTTACTTTGAGGCCAGACTACGTTTTACAATCCCCGTAATTTCATTTGATCTTCGACTTAAGGATTCATAGTTTTGACATAAGGGCAGTCTTGCAGTTTGTTTAAGATTTCAACTTAAGAGAATCCATTCAATTAACAAAATTAAACTGACATTTTTGTCAGAATTTTTTTTTTTAAATTCTTACGAACTTATACACATTTTTTCAATTTTTCATACGAACTAATATTTTAAGAAACTTGTCATATCAATTTTCTAAAAATTTGTCATCTCACGCTAACTCCATTAAGTTTTTTTATAAAAAAAAAAATTAGGTTTCATAGTTATTTCAGACTTTTGACCTCATTTTGACGTATTTTTTATTTTTATACAAAAGTATATGTACACAAAGGGTGGGAGAATAAATTGAGTTTGAACTTTTGAGATGACAAATTTCTGTACTTCTCTTTAGTACAAACCTAAAAACTTTGGCTATTAAAAACAAAATGTCATGTTTGTTTAAAAAACTTATGGTGAACTACTAAAAAAATTACATTAGGTTCGCTGACAAGGAGTTTAAAATCCTCATTCGATTGCAACCCTAGTACAATCCCCAATTCGATTTCTGATTTCAGTTTATGGTGTCAGTGCTTATGATATTTTATTTTGATTTCTACATGATCTACTAGCTTAGAATCAGAGAGATTTTTCACTGGTACTTGAAATACAAGACGGGATACTAAATGTTAATATACAATTAGAGGAACACTTCAAATTTTTTTTCTCTAATTCTATGATAAAATACAGTGTTCTCCCATATCTCGACATACTAGAAAATGTGGCTTTTTTTTTTTTTTTTTTTTTTTTTTTTTGAAAAGATACAATAGTAGATTTCATTTCATTATAAATTGCATTACAAAGGTTGATCCATCTCTAAGCATAGAGCTACACACAGTCCTCAACAAGTATATAAGTTAAGATACTAGGTGGGGAACCGGTCCATTCACAACTTTGCATCAGAGATAGGCCGACTTTTGCAAGGCGATGAGCAGCAGCATTCGTGTTTTGACGAATGTGGGTGATATTTGCTTCAGTGATTGTGTTGAGTAGAGCTTTGCAATCCTCCACAACTTGTTCGATGGGTGACAAATTGAGGGAAGGATCCCTCAACGCCTCTACAATCAGAAGTATGTTTCAATAAAAAGGAATTGATAACCCCTGTCCATCGCCCATAGCAAACTTTCCCTCAACACCATAGCTTACGAGAGCAGCAGGGAGGATATATTTTCAGAGCTTCCAATACAAGCAGCCACAAAAATACCATCACCATCCCTGATAACAGCACCGAAACCAGCAGCAAGGCTTGTTGCATTCCATGACCTGTCAACATTCATCTTGAGTTGCCCCTGGGGTGGGACAATCCATCTAGGGGTGCTTCTAGGGGTGGGCACAGTTTGGTTTGGTGCGGTTTTAAGTGAAACCAAAACCGAAACCGCAAGTTTTTGCGGTTTGGTTTGGTGCGGTTTTGAGGCTAAAACCAAAATGAAACCAAACCATTTGGTTCGGTTCGGTTTGGTTTTAAACGGTTTTGGTTTGGTTTCATTGTTTGAAAAAGCTATTATGGTTACCTAGTTGTATCTCATTTCATCCAATTCAATAAAAAAGTTTTGGTGTTTAAACTTTTGACATTAAAAACAAGTCCTTCAATAGCCCAAATTCAGCATTATTTATTGTAGTCAACAGCCAAGATGCAATACACATTCAATCTTAAGTTCAAGAGAGTTCACATCATGATGCAGGGATTGAAATCAACATGCAGCCCTAAGTAACGCGAACATCTCCTTAATCAAGGGGGCGGATTCAATTCGTGTAGGCGTGTGTAATTGTGTATACTGGCGGAAACCTATCTAGTATCTACCCATTATTTGCATGTTATATAAAATTTGGAAGAAAATGAAATTTCAAGGCATGGCCATTCTAGTAAGCAACAAGCCTAATTAGTACTTAATTTGCTAAATTTAATACTTAAATCTAATAAGAAGTGGATTATATCGACTAATCTAGAAGCAGATATGACATTTTGTCTTTTTTTTTTTGCAGAACTCGTGAACTTGAATCATATTAAATTTTACTCTGATTTATCAGGTTTATATGTACAATCAAGAACATTTTGACATTCTGATGTTCATGAACGAAGAAAATTCAAAGACTAACCAACGAAAAACCAAATCCCCTTTTGATTCAAAACCCAACCCTGAACTCTAGAGGCTAGGAGCTGGAATGAAGGGGAGGCCGAGAAAGAGAGAGTTATAAGCTTAGATGAATAAAGTTGAGCAGTACAGACTAGAAGAAAGAAAAGATAGAGATTATGTGGAAATATTATGATGAGGTTGAGTCCATAGTAAATGTATGGACTCAATGAAATAACAAATTAAAATTTAACATTTAATAAAGTTGTGCGGTTTTGGTTTTGGTGCGGTTTTCAAAAGCTAAAACAAGCGGTTCGGTTTGAAAACCGCAAAACTAAACCATTCGGTGCGGTTCGATTTGATTCGTGTTTCGGTTTCGATTTTCGGTGCCAAGTGCCCACCCCTAGGTGCTTCTCAATCTGCTATTCTGTTCCTCACTTGTGTTCGTGGTTCTGGTAAACTCAAGCCACCATTGAATAGCACTAGCTACATACCTCAGGAGACTCCAGCTTCTCGTCCCAGAGTTTCTTGTTCCCTGCCCCCCATAGTGCCCAACAGACCACCAGGAAAACTTCAAAACTTGCCTTGGGTATCAAATCCGCAATCTCATTGATCCATATCATGTAGGATGAAGGGTGAGTGTTCCTCAAAAGTGGACCCACCTGCGAGCTCATCCACGCACATTTCGCATAATGGCATTCCTTCATTAGGTGGATGGTAGATTCGCCATATGCACCACACAATCCATATGTGGCTTTGTTTTTAATAAACATGTGCATGAATTTGAATTGACTGTTCAATAGCCACTGTATCAAGTTTCTACATTTGTCCAGAACCACTGTATATTTTGCTGCAATAAGTCGAAAAGGTGACGAATCATTTCCTTTGCTGTTGAAGGAAGTACGAATCATTACGATACGCGTTCGAATGATAAAACCTTATCCGGATAAATTTAACGGCGCTGCCAAACTCCGTCAAATCAATAAATTGAAACCCGCAGCAATTTCTTTGCACCTTCCGTAACTAAATTATTGGACCTCTCTCGTTAATTTGGTTACATCCGGCCAAAATAATAGTTTCGTTAAAAAAAAAAAAAATTTTGTTTCTCAAATAATACAATTTTTAAAGATTAT